GGCCCCGAACGCGGGCGAGGCCCGGCCTCCCGGGGGGCTTGTCCTGGAGAAAGGGGCGCACCCCGCAGAGGGCCCGGACCTTCTCCTTTGGGGACACGAGGGTCCTGAACCCCGGCAAGGTCGCGTGTGTTCCTGGAATTAAAAAAAATTAAATTACAGTTGACACACAGTCTTTAGCTCCAGGGACACAGCGCGGCGACTGGACGTTTACATGCCCAGGCCGCGCCTGTCCCCTGCGCGGTTCATGCACTCATGTCAGCAAAACTAAGCACCTACTGTGTGCCAGGACCCGAGGTGGGTCCTGATGACACGAAGTGGATGAAACACATGACTCAGAGCACCGGGGACAGTCGGGGGACGCTCCTGGGCCCCCCTCAGATGTTGGGAAACACGTAAAATAAGATGCACAGGACTGCAAAGCAGTCAACCGCATTGAAAGAGTCATCAGAATATTTATAAAGTCACTTTTTGTTATATGATCTAACAAAGCTGCAGACCAGCATGTTAACCACGGTCCTTTCAAACGGTGAGGAGCTCAGGTGACATTCTGAGGTAACTGTGCCAATCGCCAAGGCACAGGGACAGAGCTGTGACCCGCTGGTGACTCTGTCACTGGCACTGGGACACGTTTCCGTATGAACAACTGAAGATGTTAAATTCTGTTGGCGGTTAGTGACAATGACAGTGTAAGTGCCTCTCAGTCCAAATCACTGGGCCCCTCGGTTTTACCCGCAGACCTCTCGGTGGAGAAACTGGCAGTGAGCGGACGATAAATAACAAGGAGGGGGAGCCCGGGTGGGGCCGCGTGATGCGCAGCAATAAAGCCAGAAGGAAAGGCCAAAGCTGAGGGGACAGTCGGACAGGACCTCGGATGCTCAGAAGCCACACGCAGAGTAGGAATGGCCCCCAGGGGGCCCAGCTTAGCCTACGCACCCACAGTCTGAAAACGTGGCTCTCCTGCACAGGACCAGGATCCGAGCCCCGTTTCCCCCCAATTCCTATACCCCCCAGACTCACTACGTGCCTGCCTGGGCACTTGAGTTTGCACTGTTGCCGCTTAGGGCAACCCAGCCGTGGCAACAGCAACCTGCCCCGTGGAATGTTCTGGGAGTTTAACCTGCAGACAAAGCTCAGCATCTGAGTCCTGCTTGGGAACCCGGCTCCTTCCAGGCACTGCCCACCTTTCATTCCAGCTGTGGCCCCCCAGGGCCCCCTGGGCTAGCAGGTTTGGGGCACCTCTGCTCCCACCGCTGGTTCCCAGTCTGGCCGCAGCACCACTGGCCACATTTTGGGGTGGCCGGTGAGCAGGGCTGGGTCAGAAGCAGCCACTGTAGCTGGGTACGAACCAGTGCGGCAAGCTTGCAGGGTGATGTCAGAGCTGGCACCAGCAGCGAACTCTGTTGACAAGAAGATTAATTAGACAAATACGGTGCCCATCAGTTACTGCAGCCGCCTCCTCGGGGGTCAGCTCCAGTCAAGCCTTTGCTAGAGGTTTTTTTTAATCTTTTTAAAAGAAAGCTTAATCTCCTAACAAGGGAGCCAACACACAGTTCATGGCGTGCCAGAGAGCAAGTACATACAAGCAGGTTCCGTGAGCTGCCGGGCCTCGGGCTGGCACAACCTGCGCGCCCAGCAGCCTCTTTGTCTTACCTGTGCAGACCCGGCCCCAGGAAGCGTGTTGAGCCCTGAATCCCTGCTCACGAGGGAGGAGGCCCACTTGTGCCTGTGAGCTCTCGATCTCTCTTCCTCTCTGCCTTTCACCGGCGAACGTCCCTTGAGAGAGGCTGGCAGCCCGCCACGCAGGGTCAGTAGGAAGCCCGCCACCTACACCTTCCCTCATGTCAAATGTCCTCCTTCTCCAACGGACACCTGCCCTGTTGTCCCATTAATGAGAAGGGACCTCACTCATCATTCAACACATACACACTGAGTCTATGATATGAGCGACACGGGATAGAGGAGTGATCTCCACACAGCAAGCCCTTCCCTGGGTAGGGGGGCTTGTCTCCTAGAGGGGAGATGCAGCAATGAGTAAAATAAATACACAGATGAGCTGGCGTGTGGTAGAGGCCGTGGTAGAGGCCAAGAAGGGGCTAAGTGAGGGGATGTGGGGGCGAGGGCTGGGAGGTGGCAGCCATTCTGGAAAAGGTGTCCTGAGGAGGTGAGACTTCAGTGAGACCAGAGAAGGGTGGGAACGTGCCTGGGGAGAGACAGGGGTTTTTCCTGCATCCACAGGAAACAGGAATCTGACAGTGTCCAGGGAGGGGTGCTCTGCAAACGTCTGATGACCGAACAGAAAATATTTCCAAGTTCTGCTTCTTATAATTTGGTGTGATTAGATTCTTTGGGAGGGGGGATTGTTAAAATGTAGATTTCCAGGTCCATTGATTCAGGAGGGGTGGTGGAGGCCCAGAAGCTACATTTGAGTAGCCCTCTCCCCTGCCCCTCCCCCCCCAGAAAAGGGTGCTGCCCTTCGTCCGCCTGGCCCTGGAAGCTCTGGGCCTCCCAGGCAGCAGCCACCTTCACACTGAGCTGCAGCCCCTCCCACAGCCCCGCCTCCAGGCAGCCTGCTCAGCCTGGGATTGCTACCCTTTCCACCTGTCAGGCCTCAGGTTCCAGAAAGCCTCGCAGTCAGGCTGTGGGTGCCCAAAGCCAGCACAGCCTCAGCAGGCCCTTCCCTCCCACACTGCCCACATCACCCAGGCCATGTCCCAGGCTCCACATGGCGAAGTCACCTGAGCACACCGAGGCTCCCAGGCTCAGCTGCCTCCTTGGAGAGGCAGATCCAAGAGGCTTCTGACAGCCGCCGCCACTCTGGGGAGTGTGGACCTTCATGGCAGCAGCTCACATGTGGAGAAAGGGCAGCAGGCACTCTGTTTGAAGATGGGCTAGAGAGGCACAGACTGGGAATTACCTGCTGTCTCTGAAGAGATGTTTTGGGACCCTGGGGCCAAATATTTGTAGGGCACTCCCTTTTCCAGCTAGAAGTGGAGGGGGCTCTAAACTCATGGGGACCAACACATGCCCCTCCCACACCCTTAGTCCCTAGGCCTCCTCTGGAGCCCCAGAGCCCATGGGAGAGCGCCAGTCCTCAGGGCCGCCTGGCCTGGCTCTGCCGGGAAGAAGGGAAGGCTTCCAGTGGGATGGAGACAGGCCTGTGCACTGGCCTGAACCCGCCACCCTCGTGGGACCCCGGGTCGCAGTTTCCCCATGTGCAGAAGGGCTGTGAAGGCCACGGAGAAGTACGGGGCTCTAACACACAAACTTCTCTGTCGGGCACCCATTCTCTTCTCCTGGTCACAGAGACACAACAGATCTGGAGGTTTCTGGTCCCTGTGGCTAATGGCTTCTGGGGCACTGAGCTGCCCGACAGATGCTGTTCAAACTTCAGACAAAAGCCAGCCCAGTGATCTCCAGTTCCAGGGCTGCTGCGGCATCACACCCACCTGCGTCCCCTGCTCTCTGCTGCCCCCTGCTGCCCGGAGGTGACGCCCTGGCGGGGAGGTCGGGCGCTTGGCATCAGAGCTTGGCATCAGGACGAAACCTGTTCCAGGGGCAGGTCTCTCTCTCACCCGCAGGGAACCCGAGGCTCAGACCCCGCAGTGGCTTCCTCAGGGCCACAAAGCCCGTCTTTGTACAAAGGATCCTACAAGGACGACGCCTGGACCAGCCGCAGCTGCACTGCCAGGGAACTGGCAAGAAAGGCAGCTTCTTGGCCCCACCTGGACCTCTCCTTAGAAACTGCGGGCGGGGCTCTGAGCTTGGGGCTCAGTGCCCCTCCTGTGATTCTGATGATGCTATAGCTGAGACCCTCTGCCATCTCTTTGGAAACATAAACCCGGGAGAACAGGCTCTCTTATCATATTTTGCAGGTTTAAATTTTTTAAAAATGCAGGCGCTCTTTTGTTTCACATATTTGGGAAGGTCTACACACTGAGAACGTCTACTCCCAGGGGACACAGGCGGGCTCGGCGGGAGCTTTTGCAGAGAAGACACCTCAGGGACTGGCGGAAAGTTGTCTCTGATCCACGCGATGCATGTGCTACCCAGGGAGGGACAGGGCCTCCCAGATCTCTGCATTTGGGTGACACGCCTGCTGGCAGACATCAGGGCAGGGGTTGGGGTTTCCCGAGAGGGTGGCTTGAGTTCCCTCACTCCTGCATCATTCACTCCCTCCCTCAGCCACTGTTTGAGCACCAGCTATGTACCCTGCAGGCTCATCTGGCTGCTCCTGTTTGGTTCCCATCCTTGCTGGTGGGTCCATGGGGCACAAAGACAGTAGACCTGAAACTGCACATAGAGGGAGTCGGCTGAAAGTGACCAGTCACAGCTGTGACCAGGCTTTGAAGGAGACATTCAGGTGCTCAATGCTCAGCCCCAGTGCAGGTCTAGGAACAAGCAATCCTGACAGGCCCTTTCTGTCTGTGGGTATCAGTTCCTCCTGGGAGCAGGTGGGCAGAGGCTATGATTCTACCTAAGAATCCCACCCCTGGGTGGGTGCACACCTGGGAGGAAAACCACAGGAATGCTGTTCCTTCTTGTCTCACCTCTAAAGCCGCATGCCGAGCCAGCTCTCGGGAACATGGCAGCGGACGGCTTGGGGGGAGCAGGTGCTCGGTCCTACCCTGGCTGCACCCTCGGGATCCCACAGCCTGGCTTTCCCGGGCTCAGCGAGCAGCCTGGACTTCAGTGGGTGGGCAGCCGACTGACCCCGAGGAGACTGCACAGAGCCCGCCTAACCCCCACACACAGCACCCGCCTCACGCACAGCACCGCAGAGAACAGAAGCCTGGCTGGAGTTTCCATTTTATTGGTTGCTTCCGAGTTACACACACCTGCGTTCTCAGCAACAATTTTCAATAGCCACGCCTCACATTAACAGACAGTTAAAGCATAGATTCCAAACAGGCAGCTACGTGATGCTCCACAGAGGAGGTAAAGTTTAGACTATCCAAGACACATCCCCACCCCCGCAAATTCTGGAACAAAACACGCTTAAAATTCCGCCATGAGCCTATGAGCCCGAAAGTACAAAATCTAGCCACTGCTTAAACCAGGGAATGGACAGTCGTGTGTTTTCTAGGTCAGAAAACAAGGAAACAGGAATGCTTCGGAGTCATCTCTACTGTCTTGAGTATTTCTGCTCTATTTGTATCTTAAGTGACTGTATAAACACAGGCACAGCACGTATCTGAGAATAGGTTTCACAAACAATACAGATTTTTCAAACATCTTTAAATTTAATCAATGAGAAAAGTAATTCAGTCGCTTGAATTTTAGGTTTAAAAAAATTAAAAGTATTTCCATGGACTATTAAAGCTCTCTCCCCAAAAGTATAAACCGTTACACACTTTCAAACCTGAAGCGTTCACCTCTTTCTCTGAGATGAAAACAGGAGAGATGGGGCCCTAAAGGTATAAACGATGTAAATACTTGACGCAGCTGCACAGGAGCCTCAGAAGCTGGAGGGACAGCGTTCCCACCAGTCTGGGCTGTGACCGTGACGATGACCACGGCACGACTGACACCTGCCTCACCTGGCTTGCAGGGTCAGAGTTCCTGGCACGTGGTAACCTGTCACTCTTTGGCGGGTTCCTGTTTGGGGGTTTCCAGCTCATTCAGTAAATCTCTGCCGGCAGCTCCAGCTTTCGAAGCAAACAGAATGGCTCCCTGTTTAAAACCAAGGCTCCTCAAGCTCCGGGCATAGTCTGCATATATGGCGGAAATGAGTCTCTGTGAACCACAGTTAAGGGGCAGAACAGAGGCAAGGGCCCGGTCACACTCTGGCCAGGCTCCCAGGCTGGAGAAGCTCCACCCAATACGCAGGAGGGACTGAGGGCCACTCCCGGCCTGGGGGAGGTGACGGCTCCACCTGCGATGACACCAAGTCAGCAGCAGCTGAGTTGTCGTCCTCCTAGAAAGCCCAGCAAACATCCTCCCGGATTCCCCCGACCTAAACAACTAAAGGCTGGAGGAGAGGACTCGTGCATGCCCCTGTCTGAGAGGCTGGCTTTTGGGGGCAGATACAGGTTCAGTGAGAGGTTCTCCTGACAGGGCCTGACCCAGGGCAGGAGCCCCAGGTACCTGGGCTTTGGGTTTTTAGATGGCCCTGCTTGCTGGGTTCGGCTCCTTTGAGCTAGTCAGCTCCACCAGTGCCTAGACTCAGGATCCTTAGCACGCTTACGTTCAGTTTAGTTTTCTGTACTAAAAATGCACAGAAAACCAAGTACCCGACACGCAGAAATGAGATCACAATGTAGTAGGTCAGGAGAAAGTGCAATGAGGACAAGCAGGTCTACAAACAGAAGGAAGGGAGTTGTCCTCTTGAGCACGAGCTTTTCAAAGGAAAACGGACTCAGCTGACACCCAGAGCAGACAGACCTGGTTACAGGTGGACCAGTGCCCGCCTGCATGACACGTCTCTTCACAAAGTCGCGTCCTGTCCCGCACTAGACTGTCACTATGGATAAGGAGGAGTCTTTCTTTTTACTGCTGTACATATCTTCCAGATTAACATGTAAACTTTTACTCCACGGAGGAGTTTTGACATCGTGCCACGTTAAAATAGCTGCCCCTACACCTTTCGTAAATTATTCCTTTACCTTTTAAAGTTCCGACAAGAGCCCGGCTGGGCGTGGCTCAGCGGTTGAGCATTGACCTAGGATCCAGGTGATTGGGGCACATGCCCGGGTTGTGGGCTTGATCTCCCGTTGGGGGCATGCAGGAGGCAGCCGATCAATGACTCTCTCATCATTGATGTTTCTGTCTCTCTCTCCCCCTCTCCTTTCCTCTCTCTGAAATCAATAAAGATATATTTTATAAAAAATAATAATAATAAAGTTCCGACAAGATAGGACAACCTGAGGCCCTCCCCTTACAGCCCCTCCTGCTCCTAGAGCTGGGGCCAGAGGTGCACCGTCCTTGTCTCAATTCTCCCCTCCCTGCCCCTCCTCGGCTCTGGATCTTTCTTGAGATAACAGAGTTCCTGCCCAGGCAGCTCGACAGAGAGGAATTCTAAACCCACTTGTTCATCTGCTTCCTCCTCAGCATAACCACCCAGCAAAGGATATCTGTGTCCTCACCGACCTCCATCGCCCCGTACATGAGACAAGCCTCCACAAACAGGGCCGCCCGGTCGAAGTATCTCATGCTGCCCAAGGGAAGAAAACAGGAGTCAGGCTTGTGACTTACGGCATTTGGGGTAGAACCATCCCAGGGTATGTTTCTGTATAAAGACCTGTACACATTTTCCCTGGAAACCCAAGTACTACGAAAGTTACTCCAGCACCTTTCCAAGTCCTGGCTTACAGAGGACAGGAGGGAGCTCACGCAGGTCCCTAACCCCATGGTCTCTTCTATTAACACTTAAAAGAATGAGGAACAGCTGAAATACACAGAAACCTTTAGAGACGGGACCGCAGGCATGTACCCACAGTCCAGCCATGTTTACCTCCACCGACCTCCCTGACTTTTACACAGATAAAATGCCCCATAACAAGCTATGGTCATTATTACTCTTCACGGTTGCAAAGGGCATTCCCCCCACTTGCCACACGGTCTCCCTCCTGCTGCTCACTGCCCTCACGGCAGGTGCTCTGCGCAAAGCTGAACCGCCCCCAGCCCTCTACAGAAGCCTCTCATATTCCCGCAGCGTGTGGGGCACCTGTGGAGCGTCTCGGCCACGCTGGAAAAGCAGCCCAGGGAGAGGAGGACCAGGAGGGCTTTCGCCTTCTGGTTGACTTGGGGAGAGCACAGGTGGTCCACCCACCGCTTCAGCACATCGGCGCACTCCTCAGAATTCAGACGGACCTGGGAGAGGTGCCATGTGAGCAGACATTGCACTGTATATATGTATATAAATCAACCAAGATGGGGCCAATTCACGAGGCAAATGCTAGGTTTTGCTCCATTGTCCCACAGCCCAGACGCTGCTGTTGCCTGTGACTGGGGGCGACAAGGACCCGGGCTGCGGACATGGGGCCCACAACACCCGAGGGCTGCAGTCTGGCTCACACCCCAGCAGGGAGAGGAGGCGGCCACTCTCACTTCACTGCCACCAACATGAACTGCCTCTTCTAATAGGAAGCAGTGCAAATTATACTCAGAGAGAACAGGAGGGTGGGAGTTACAAGGAAACATTGCAAAGCAGCTCTGAAGCCAAAAATACTTCTGATCATGAGTAAGAAGTTCAAGATGAGATCCCATCCCAAATACTCAGCACCGACAGGAATCACCTTTGCGAGCCATGCAGCCCGATTCCACTCGCCGTAGGTTTGCAGGTAGCGGCAGGCGTCCGCGGCCTTGTCGATCAGGCAGAGCAGCTGCACACCCTCTGGAAGACACAAGGGCAGCCCCTCGTGGCACCACAGCCCCCTCTCTGACCAGCCACCCACAGTCAGGTCAGACTGACTCCACCTAGTCATGTCATTTACACCTGCTGGAGACTCCTGACTAAAATTTTAAAATAAAATATTAGGACATAGTTCTATGATGCTGCCACTCAAGTAAACCAGGCAGGAAACACAGTCAGTCCTGAAAATAAACAGGTAAGCACCTCACTCACTGGCTTTCATCTATTATTTGCCCTGGTTTGTCCATCTATGCCTGTCATCTTGGCATTAACAGTGCCCCCTTTCACTCTTAAAAGTGCAATTATATAGTTATCTTCTAAAGAGCTGGCAATTATCTTTCTTTCTCCAACACATATAAAAAAGACAAAAATATCCGCAATAATCTAATCCCTTGCTAGGAACAGGTCTGACTTTCCAGAGCACTGACCCACAGACACGCCTCACCTGCCAACTTGCCATTAGCGATCATATTAGTGGCCACGAGCTTGATGGTGCTCTGGGAGGGGCCCGAGGAGGTGACGGTGGTGACCAAGCAGGCTTTTAGGGAGTCACAGTAGTAATGCTGGTTCTCCGCACTCGTTTCCAGGAGCAGCTGCACAGCTCTGTCTGTCTGATAAAGACACAGCTCCTCTAATTCCTCTCCTCCAACACCACCTTTTAAGTTCATAACCTGGAACACTGACACAACTGGAAGAGGCCTTTCGCTTCCAGCAACTGCCTATGAATGCTTTGTTTACAAACATTTACTGGTCTTATTTTGAGAGAAAGCCTACATTTATACTTATACTTTCAGAGAAACATGGTGTGTGTATGAGAGAGAGAGAGAGAGAGATGTGATTCTCTGAAACACCTGTCAACCAGCAGCTCCATGAAACGTGAGGAGTTATAAAAACTGACGCACTTGGCCCAGGAGAAGTAGCTGGTCCGTGCATTTCCGCGCATGATCGTAAGTCGACCGTTTAACTTCCTGCAGATTAACCCTTTCCAGCTGAAATTTCTAGAGTAAAGAAAAAAAGAAAAATTGAGCCTGGGTTATAAGACTTCTGAATTATTTAAACTTTACTGTCCTTAATAACTTCATTTTAACAAACATTACTTGGACTTCTGAGGTTATTAACCAACTTTACAGAAATCCACAGTCTAACAGGAATGTGACAGGAACACCTGAGACGCAGCACCTGCCAAGGACACGGGCACCTGCACAGAGCTGGAGGGAGAATCCCTGAACACTAAATATACTGCAGATTAAAAAGCTACGAAGCTACCTTCTTATATATAAAACAGCAAATTCAAACCAAGTGAAATACTTTTTATAGAAAATAATAAAGGAGAACTAAAACAAACCTCCTAAGTTAAACATTTTTAGGCAAAGAAAAAATAAAGGACTGTTAATAAAATTTCAATGTGTATTAAAAAACTCAGAAACATTGGTAAACTTTTCCAAGTCCTGGTCAGGCCTTTTCTGCGTGAACGTGCGAAGGGGCTCGTTTCTTTTGTGTGGACTTTAACTTAGTTCCACAGCTTCCCAAGTTGACCAGACTTACAGACACACAAGTAACCGAGACGACAGCTCTCGAGGATGTAACACATGCACTATGATACCTGAAAGTAGGCGTTTTCACAGAGTATATCATAGCATATGTCCAGTGGGTTGCTCGCTCTGTCCTGAGGGGCCGCTCCCTGTGTGGTCCCTGTGCTCTCCTTCCCTCGGGACAAGCTGTGCAGGTAGTGGGCGGCCACTGTCCAGAAGTGCAGCTCTGACTCGTCCCCATAGAGCCTGCGGAGGTGGAACCGAGGTGTCCCCTGAGCCACCCGGGAAATAGGGTCTGGACAGGGCTCCTCAGAGCACCTGAAACACTGGGGCTCAGTGGTGCCACGTGGCAACATGTGGTACCGGGCGTGGTTCCTGGCTCCGTGAAAGTGCTGAAGCAGCAAGTCCTCCAGCCTGTCCCTGGGGCTCAGACAACACAGGGCCAGGCCTGAGCGCAGAGGGTCCTGTCAGCCAAGACCTGTCTCCGTTGTGTTAAGAGTGACACCCCAGTTCAGAAGCTTGGGCCACAGTGCCTTTCACTCTGAACCACAGACCTCAGTGAGGATGAGGCTCCTCTGGGGTAACTGGCCACACGAGGTGCGGAGACAACTTTAAGTTATTCCCCAGGGCGTGGAGGGAAATGTCTTTTTTGTCAGTTACTACTCTGTTGTACAATGAACGTACAGCTCATTGATTCTATAACTTACTGATAATACAACTTATTGGCATGTTTAAGGGCAGGTCCTTTATAGCTGATATTGTAAAAAGCTGTCTGTAGGAGGAAGTCTTTTCAACACAGGCAGCCTACATCTCACATGTAAATGTAATTTTTTTTTTTTCTATTCGTGTTACTACTTTTAAAATTGTCATATTAAAGAATGAACTAAGGTATTTTTCTAAAATCTAAGAGTTTGGTCTTAACTAAAAATCCACAATAAGAGAAGTGAGTTAACCTGAAATTCTCAGTCTCTTACACAGATTCTTCAAAGTGTTACCTGGAAACGAGCAGACATCTCTGCAGGAGAGAGAACTCGGGATCAAGCAAGAGCCTCTTTATGTCGCTGCAGACAGGAGCCCAGAAAGAGGCAAGAAAACAATTAATTAAACAATGAAGCAAGGAGATAAATCAACATGCTCTAGAAATGGAAAATTCCACCCAAAGGGTGTGCTTGGAACTTACATAAGACATTCCTTTGCCATGCCCCTGACATTACAGAAGCTTCTAGAATGTGGAGTGTGCACCTGGGCAGAGAAGAGGTGCCTGTCCCCACACAGGGGCCAGGAGGCGCTGACTGGCTGACGCTCCTGCCACACTCCAGCCCACATGTTTGGAACTATAAGCAGCTGCCTGACTGCAGGCAGGAGGACTCACTGCTGATGAAAGGACCTGGCTAATCACCAGGATAGTGTCTGCCTTAGAGAAGCCACATTCAGACTTACTTCTGAAACTACCCCAGGCATAAAGTAGTCAAGGAAGAAGGGCTAGTGTTTTAGGAACGGTTATCTGTAGAGAGCCATACACAGAATATTCACAAATTGGCAGTGAGGGGAAGGAGAGAAACCCTTTAAATCTATTCTTTTCCTTTGAAACGCAAATGTTCACCTCTGAATAGAGAAATCAATAGGTATTTTGAATCTGACATCGATAAAGCACTGTATTATGGCGAGTTTATTAAATGCTATAATCATGAGTAACAGATTCTAGATGGCATACATGTGTGCTGTTTTACTGAGAACTCCTCGTGGACCCGTTCCTACTTCCTCTGCAACATTACTCCTAACACACACTTCTCAATGCTCTTGGCTTAGGGAGCACTGGGTTCTTCCCCAGAACTGTGCGTCGTCCTGCAGGGAGAACCCACTGCAGGAGCAGGAGGCGGGCACAGAACCGCCTGAGTACGTCCTCGTGTGAGGCTCACAGGGTTTGTGGTGGAGGCTGGAGGACGCACACGCCTGCTCTGTTCCTCCCCAGACAGGAGACAGGGCACCTGACACAGAGGAGCTTGCTGAAGACAGATGCTCAGTGTAACTATGAAATAACCACTCACAGAACCAGGCTCTACAGGACACAAACTCTGCCGGAGGAAATAGCCTCTCCTCGGGTCACCCATGCTTCCTAGAACACACAGTCTTAATTTCAAATAGCCTAAGTTACTATGTTTCTTCTATCTTCTAACCAAACATAACTAGGGTGCTTACTTAGACAACGAGCTCAGCTGTTCCTGGAGGAGGCTCTTTATCTCTTCATTCTCTGGATAATCGCTGCAGGGAAAGATTGTGAGTAAGTTCTTTCTCTCTCCACTGACAGCCGTTTATTTCTTTACCAGAAAAAAAAAAGCTGTGTTAATGACAGAAGTAACCTTTCTGTAACCTTGGTCAAAAACCTGGCTGCAGACCAAACAGCAACACTGTACTCAGGAACCCGCCAATCATCTTCAGTGTCTGCTTCTACCTCATTCAGTCAAAACGAGGGATTGGGCGAAGAGGGTCTCTTTGACTTTCAAGAAACCAGAGAATGTATCAGCGGGCTCCAAAAACAATCAGGTTTAGATTCACATAAATAAGGAGTTTAGCAATGATGAAGGGGTTTGCTCATTCCATTCCACCAAACGAACCCTTGTTTCTCCTCCGAGACACTTCTTGGAGCATAGACACATCAACGTCTACTTTTACCCACCTGACTCATGCCAACCTGCGCACTCCACATGGCCTGAATTCAGTGACACCTGTGGGTTTACTTACAACTACTAACAATAGTTTCTGTGAATATTTTTTTGCAATGAGGTAGGTATTGAGATTTATAAAACATGAAATACCTCTGAAGTAGGCCCATTCTGGGTGCTTTTAAAAAGATTTCAGCCTGGCCCCAAATTGCTCGTGGTTTCAACCGACCCTCTCCACACTTATGATGCCATGTTCAAACTGTGGGTGAAGCGACTACAGGGCCAGCTGAGAGCAGCATAGGCTCTCAGCCCCCCAGGCTCACACCACAGGGCCCCAAGGGCAGGAACAAGACAGCCTGGCAACTCTCTCTGAGTCTCTGCCTCAGCCTGGCTTAAGGTTCCAGTCCTTTTAAGTCCTGGAGTGCAGAGGCCACTGCTCATTTTCAGGGATGTCCTTCATCCCCCAAGGAAATTAAAAAGGAAAACAGAATGGGGAAACTTACACCTGAGAAATATCCAGAGAGTACTGTCCATTCCATGGCTGGTGCAGCAGGAAAGCCTTCAGGGCGAGGGAGGCTCTCGGAACAAGGAGGTGGGGGCACCACACGGGCTCTGGAAAAAAGTTTAAAAAAATAAAATTTTATGCTGCTATGAAGCTTCGGCTACAGACAGTTTACAGAGGAGTCTGGTGGCAGGTGAGAGTAAGGTCAACGTAATCACTGCTTGAGACACAGAGGAGAGATTCTCTTCTTCAAACTGAGGTATCTTTCTTCCCCTTTCAAAGATCCAGGTGTCCTGGAGGGTATATGATAACATCCTACCTGAATGAAAGATCCAATGCAACAATCCAACAGGTGTCAACAGAGCTCATTACTGTAAAACACTAACAAGCACACTTAGCAGCACCACCTTACCCCACCCATTCGATGTGTGCTTTTCTGAGAGTTAAACTAACACGGCACCTCAACCCTGAGCTGCTTGCTGCAGGGACCAGGCCAACTCTGACGAGTATGTCCGCAGGTCTCACTCAGAAAGTGGCCCTTGAACAAAATCACTATCTTCCTGGACCTCGGGCCCCAGAACCCCCCACACGCAGTGGTGGGCTCACTTAGGACACAACAGACAAGATGTGCCTGTTTTCCAAGTTCCAGTGCAAAGAATCTGAAGACACAGAGGCTCCAACACACAGGCAGCGGGGCTCTGACTCCCTGAATGGCCACATTCGCCAGACTCCTGACCTCAGCCACAGCTCTCTGGGACCCACTGCCCCTCACACATCCCACAGGACCCGTGGACAGATGCATTTACAGGAGATCACACGAATCTACCACAGTGCTGCCTTACATAACTGACCACACAGACCTGGCACTGTGCTGTCCAGCACGAGAGTCTCTGGTCCTGCGTGGCTCCTGAGCACGGGAAACATGGCTAGTCCAGTGGAGGAAATGAATTCTTACCTACTTAATTAATTTAAATTTAAAAACTAATGCCTGATTCAGTCATTGGATACTTTTAAAATATTTGGAACAACCTGAATATATGACTACTTTCTCAGTTGTAAATTTTATAAAATCTAAACACAACTCAAGAATTTCTGCTGAAAATTTGTCCTTTGAATTGAGATACGCTCTAAATGAAAATACCTGGATTTTGAAGATCAAGCACTAAAAAATGTAAACTATCTCATCAGTAACTTTAATAATGATTTTGTGTTAAAATGATAAAGTTTTGGATATATGGGCGTAAATAAAATTTTCATTAAAGTCAATTTTGCCTGTCCTTTTTACCTTTTTTTTAATGTGGCACCAGCACTGTACTTCTACTGGACAGCACTGCTCAGAACACTTTGCTCTGTGTAGTTAAGTATAAATTAAATCACAGATAAAATATTTTATGAGGACTATTCAATTTCAAGGTTGGAGAGGGGTCAAGCATGTTTCTAATATTACTTTTTCACAACCAGAGGTTTAAACACTGACTCAATGAAATTATCTAAAACACAGCCCACATTCAAGTTCTGCCACCCTCACACATCCCGGGAGCTGTGTTCTTTTTGGGAATCTAAGGCTCGTCACGGCCATGCCTGCACTGGATGTCCTGCCTCCTCAGTCTCCGCAGCCGTGGGACAGACCTCCCTTTGCTTCTGATCTCACAAGATGTTTTTGCATTTAAAGTGCCAGCTGTCTTAGGAAATAACCCACATTCTGACTTGTGTGTTTTGAGCATCAGACGCAGGTGAAGCATCTTTGGCAAGAAGAGCGCTCAGATGATGGTGGGCACCTCCCACTGATCCCACCGGGAGGAGCAGGTTAGTGGGTCTTCTTCTGGTGATACCAAGTCAGATCATCTAGTTAGGAGAGGGAATTCACCAGAGCTTGAATTTTTGCTAATCAGACAGGTGAGAAATGGTGCTTTGTGTAGTTTTAATTTACAGTTTCCTTAGTATGAGTAAAGTTGGGCATCCTCTCACCTGCTAAGTGCAAGTGTTTGTCTTTTATACGCCCCCCTTGCGAGGACAACCTGTTAATGACATGCACATACTTTCACCTGGTTATCATTTGTATTTTGCTCATAGTTTCTTTTGCTGTGAAACTTTTAAAAAGTTTTCCATTTAGTCGAATGTATGTTCTCTTTTACACCCCATCATAAAGGAAGGAGTGTGCTTGGTAAGAATGATGCCCACCTCCTCCACAGAACCACAACCCCACGCTGGGCAGGGTGAGGGAGGCGTTAGTTTGCTCAGCCCTCTCTCTGTCCATCCCTAATGAGGCAAGCTCATGATTCTCAAGTTTTCCAGGCAGCCCCTTCGCTTCAGACAGTAGCTGCCAGCATCCTGTCACAAAATGTTTGGAAATAGTAAACGTCAGCGAACAAAAATGAACAGAAGGCTAGCAGCACCTCATCCCCAGGCTCATGCCCTCTGATGAACTCTCTCAAATTCTGAGTCAGCCATTTTCATGACTGTGAACTTCTCTGACCATTTGAAGAAGCCCTCAGGTGAGAGTCAGAGAAGGCATCTGGCACACTGGAGTTGGGGAATGATTGACATCTGCAATTACAAGGGTCCAGCAACTCAGCAGTAAACACACCCGCGTTACTTTCTCAAGTTCAGGCCTCAGGGAACAGGGACTGAAAGAATGGAAGCTGCTCCCTCCCCGGAAGAGAGCCCCCTGCACACAACGAAGCCCGGGGTCAGAGCACCGTTCAGTAGGGTCCCTACCAGTCAGCTCCTGCTCATCCATCCTGAAGCACGCAGACTTCATGGACACCTCAAGAACACGGATGCACCCGTCATCACACGCCAGGATCACTTTATCTGACATGCACCAGTCCACGTCCAGTATCCGGAAGGTCACGTTCCTCCCGCTCCGTAAGCTGCTCACCATCTGCACATTCAGGAGTGAATTTGGTCGTCACTCTCAGAGAGAAAAGAAGACATTCACCACTCTGATCAGTCAGAGAAAGACGGTGCATGGCAAAGGCCAGTGCAAGGTCGAAACGCAACAGTCTCTGGCCATCCGTCTGTCCTCCACACGCAGACAGTGCTTTAAAGGTCCCAAAGGTAGTAATAACATTAAAAAAACCTGCTGAGCTGTCACCTTTGGAACAGAAATACCTGGAAAGGAAAAGTTTGAGGAGGAAACTGTTCTACGTTTGACAAGCCGCGCACAGTGTCACCCTAAAGCAGAGGGCCTAAAGCCACTCGAGAAGCTGGGCCTACCTCCTTAGTGTCCCACACTTCAGCTCCATCATTGTACATCGCTATTAACTTCTGGTTTCCTTTGCCAGGGGCAAAGCGAATCTTCCTCACCCAGCTTCGGTGTGTGGGTATCCCTCTGCGGACAGACAAAAACCAAAACCCCAGTGAGAAGGAGAGTCAGACCTAGTCACCAGAAACGATGCCCTAGATCTCTTTCTGTACCCTCTGACAAGGTCTGGGAGGGAGGCCACACTGGACAGGAGGCGCCTGCCCCTCACCAGCAGTGGGACAATGTCCTGGCACTTCTGTGGGAACGAAGGAGCCAGAGCTCCGTCCGCCCAGCGCTTCCTCCCGAGTTCAGTGACAAGAAGCTCATATCAGGTTACTTTTTTAAAAAACCAAATAACAACGCTGCATTTTTAACTCATACCTGGATATTCTGCCTTTCAAATCCCAAAAATTTAAATTTCCATCCACATCTCCGAGGACGAGCATGTCGCCTTTCCAGGCAATGCAGGTGATGCTGCCCATGCTTCCCTAGAAGAGCAGCAACAAGCACACGTGAACGCGCCACCTGCAAGCCGTCGCACAGAGCGGTGCTCTTACTTAGTTACTGTGACAAAGTAAAGATACTGTAATAAAACCTGACTATAAATGGTTTGCTTTATTATGAGTACAATCAAACACTAACTGGCCTTGGACACTAGAAGAGCTACATAGCCACCTGGCTGGCATGGCTCAATGGTTGAGCGTCAACTTATGAACCAGGAGGTCAAGGTTCGATTCCTGGTCAGGGCACATGCCCGGGTTGTGGGCTCGATCCCCAGTCAGGGGCGTGCAGGAGGCAGCTGATCAATGACTCTCTCTCATCAATGATGTTTCTCTCTCTCTCTCCCCCTCTCCCTTCCTCTCTCTGAAATCAACAAAAACATAAAAAATAAGAAAAGAAGATACACTGCTTCCAAAAAGCCAAATCTTTAAAAAAAAAGAGCTACCTGGCCTATCAATTTCAACTATGAAAAAAACCGAATTTCAACTTGATGGGCATTAAGTAATCTGAACTAGATTTATAGAGAAGGGATATCTTTTGAGAAAGAAATAGCTGAAAGAAAAGAAAATTAAAAGATAAAAAAAGAGAAGGAAAGGAAACACTGACCAGAGAGCTATGGTCTCCAACTTCTCTCTCCCTGCAGGACAAATAAATCTAATCCAGGGGGAAACGAAAAGCTGTTTCGTAACAATCGTGCAGCAATTTTTCCACCAAAAAAGAGGATCCAGAGCTTGTGATTCCTCTGGAATAACGAAGGTGAAAAGAGACGCATGTCTGCACCAGGTGCCTGCACCACCAGAATCCACAGGAAGCTTCGCAGAGAAGTTACTTAGGGAAGCTCGCGGTTAGAATGTAACACTGTCGGTTAGAATGTAACACTGTCGGATTGACTCCCGGCGGGAGCAGCCATAACAAACATGCCAAGGTCATGGGACAAGGACTCTGCAGCCCGCTGCCTGCTTCCCAACTTTACCACTAATTTGTTGCATGATTTGGGGCATGTTTACTTAACCTTCCCATGTCTCGGATTTTATCAACCATAAAGTAGGGCAAGCTCATGAAACCTGAGGAGCTCCCATTACTATTAATAAAAATATACAGGTAATGGCCTGAAAACAGCACCTACCGCACAGTGAAGAGTCAACACGTTAGCTATTAAATAATAGCATCAGTCAATTCCTTCTCTGCTTATTTTTGCTTTTATAGAACAATATAAAAATTCACATTTTCATGGCATCTACAGTAAGGAGCAGGAAGGGCCTAGGGCTGCCAAGCGGACCATGAACACACTGGCACCCCACCAAGTGCTGCCTGAGTCCCAGCCATGGTCAGAGCAAAAGGGAAACCAGAAAAGTTAGAAAGTTATGTTCAATAAACATAATTCTGTGTAACATGAAGCAACACTCCAAGATCTCCTCTCTGTCCTCCTGACCATATTAACACAACGTTTACCAAGAATTTGCCTTAAATTTACTTATTATTCCTGAAAATTTTTCCATTTTATAATCTTACTTTCAGACTTCTAAAAATCAGATCATTAAAGCTTGAATTAACCCAGAAGTCAGTGCTATCAGCTCAGAATGGCAGGTGATGTGCTAACACAATTGTATAACTAGGACGTAGAGTTTCTACACCCTCATCTCGAATGCGAGTGATGAGAGGGACTGAGCTGTTTCAGGGGCACGGGGAGGCCCAGGGGGCTGTCTGGGCTCCGAGGGGGAGGTTTCACGCATCACTGAGACAGCCGGCCCCTCGCCCACAGGGCAGCACAGCACAGGGCAGCTCTCGGTCTGCACACGAACAGCACGCTGATCCCTCGTGGGTTGTTATGGGGATAAACACAAGCCGCACGTGTAAGTGTTTAATGAAGCAGTTACAATGCCCGCAGTATGGAACAAGTTCATTCAATGACGACATCCCCTTAAATGCTGAAGTTTATTTACACTGAATTTTTCTGAAATAGCCTTCCCACTGAAGTATGGCTTCACTGGATATGGAACCAACAAATCTTTGATGAGAACTTCATTTTTTTAAGAAAAGCTTATTGATTTTTAGAGAGAGGAAGGGAGGGGGAGAGAGAACATCCGCCGCCTCCTGCACGCCCCACCAGGGAATCCAGCCTGCAAGACAGGCACGTGCCCGACTGGGAATCGAACCGACAGCCTCCTGGTACATGGAACAACGCCAACCAACAAGCCACACCGGCCGGGGCACAACAAGAACTCTTAATAAAGACAGTCAAGGGCTGGACTCACGTCGGGCGGGATCCACGCACTGTCTTTCACAGAGTTGCCCTCGACAATGAAGTGGTAAACCTGACCATCGTTATCGGTGAACACGAAATGCTCCCTCGCGGAGATGTTCTGGCTGAGCTCAGACTTACTCTCTGCCTCCTGCAGCAGGCTTGGGGTAGCAATAAGATAAAAATATTTCATTTTCTAGGAGTGACATCCATAATTAATTCACACAAAATATAGACGCATTAACAGAAGGTCCAAAACCCATTAAAAAAAAGGTTGAAGCTAATAACAAGGAAACCCAAGCCACACCCCACTGTCCCACCACAAGAGAACATCCACCCGTGGAGGAGGCAGTGCTCCCCTCCTGACAAGAAGACACTTCCTCACTGCTCCACGTGGAACTCTCTCCACAGGGGAGGGCCTGCCCTGACCCAGCGTCCTGCCGGACATTCCTTATTGGTAAAATAAAGATGTATACTTAGAATTTTCAATGTTTCCTTTGGTGAACGTAAATGACAGTCTGACATCTCTGCATGTTCACTGCCACGTGTGTTTGAACTCCAGAAGCTCAAGTTTGTGGAACAGAAGGATCATTTCACCGGTGGACGTTACTGTTTAGGTTACTGACTGCATCAAGCGATGTGACAGTTGAATGAACTCTCCAGGAATCCGGGTATTGAGTGAAACACCAGGTGTGTTCAAAGGCAGAGGGCCGTATGCCTCCAGAGATGCCTCTGGATGGCACCTGTCAAAAGTTCCCACCACGACACGGACATTATGGGTGACAGGGCAGGAAAGGGCACACTAACCCAATCACAGACGACTCGGCGATGCTCAGCTCAGTGTCCGAGACCACGGTCTGCCGGGCCATGGCCTCCCGGGTGGCCAGCTGCTTCTTCCTCAGGCTCTTCAGGTTGTGAGATGGCGACCACTCCTGTGGTCAGAGACAGACACACTCAGCAGTGCTCAGTTTCCCTGACAAACAGCTTCCTTCCAGAACCGCCAGGCACACTCACCAGTGCCCAGCGTCACTTATTATCACTACACACGAATTTACAATCTGTCCTTAAGGTTTACCTATTTATAGAAAGGCTGAATGAATGCATTTTAATTAGACCTTAAGGTAGAAGAGTTTAATGGCAAACTTCCAAAAAGTCTAACGACTTGATACTATTGGTTCTACAAAATGAAAACAATACAATTGTAGCATCTCCTATTCCTTCCCTTCCCCCCACCCTTAGGTGTGCAGGGTGAGGTGATCGTATTCCCTACCATGCCCCTTATCACCCACGGGTCCAGCTCAAACCTCTCATCTTATTTGGTTCTCTTATGTACCTGCCTACATTAATGTGTTTAATCTACTACCCTCTCACACGTACACGCATGCACTTGTAACTTCTGTGAATAGCACCGAGTTTCCTCCCCATCCCCAGACTTCACTCAGCAGTGCCCCGAAGTTCCTGCTCTGCCGAGTCTACAGGCCATGGGACACTCCACCTGTGCACCACCAATGCCAGTCTGTTCTCTTAGCACAGGACACCCGTAATACCTCAAACTCTCATCACGACAAGTAACACTGCAGTCAACATCCTGACAAAAGTCCCTTATGACCAGGAGCTGAACACCGGGGGCCTGGAGGATGTGTGCTTGCCTCAGTGCTGCCAGGTGGCTTCACTGGACCGCATTCCTACCAGCAGTGCCCACAGGTCCCTACAGCCCACATTGCACCCTTATCTAGGCCCCTGGCTGGCTCTCCAGTTCGTTAGCCTAGAAGGTACAGCATGGTTATTTACTTTACGAATCTCTAAACACTGGTGTGTCTGGATATGTCTTCATCTGCTCGCTGGCCTCCTAGGCTTCTCTGGCATTCACTAACTGGTCACAGACTTGGTCCACCTCTCCACTGAGCTCCCATCTTCTCAGGAGTCCCCACAATACTGATCCCCTAGGGGGATGAGTCAGTCCCATCAGCCTTAGGCACTGGAAAATTTACTTTTCCAGCTTACCTTCCACACTCAATGATGGTGGTGCCCTCTGTTGAACGGAAAGCAATCTTGATATAATGAAACACATTTTTTTTGCCTTTTGGGTTGACTTTCTGATGCCCTCTCCTGCCCCTAGAGCACGAATATTCTTCTACATTCGATTATATAATTTTATAGCTTTACTATTTCACAGTTAGGTCACTAGTCCTCTGGGGCCCACCGCTGAATGTACTGGAGACCCAGTATTTTCCCCACCAAGTGAGACTGTTTTTGCAGGACTGTCCTACAGTCTGTCCCCCCCGGGTCTGTTTGCTCCTTTACTGTACAGTAAGTTCCCAAACATCCACAGGGTCTGTTCCTGAGCTCTTCCGACACTGGCCCATTTCCCATTCTTGGGCCAGTACAGCACTGCTTCCATTTCTCTGTTTCATAACTTGTACTGTATCAGGTAGAATGGGCCCAACCTTTAGTCTTAAATAAACACTTTGGAATATGTTCTTCACGCTCCTCACAACATCTGAGTAAAACCTGAATTGGAATTGCACTGATGCAGCATTAGCTTAGCACACCCAAGAATAAGGGTTATCTCCATTTATTTAGATCACCTTCTCTGAACACACATTTTTACCAAGAAAATACATGGCAGTAATGATTTGAATCCAGGCTAAAGAAAAACATTCACCACACACACATATCTAAGTAAACTGCTTAGCTCTTAAATTATAACTTACCAAAGCGGTTATTACAGGGAAGTTTTTGGACATTTCTCTAAGAATAGTGCAAGTCCTAATGTCCCATAACTCCAGGGGTTTGTCTTTGAATACAACTGCCAAATACTGCCTAAAATAAACAAAATTACTAAATAAGCCCCTTTTTGAAAAATTTTCACCATACATAGTACAAGTAAAAAGTTCAGTAAATCAAAACACTCAGATGACATAGTCTCGACTCTGTGTTTCGGTTACTCACAACTGTAAACCTGTACACATAAATTATATTCTGTTATTTTGTTATTTTGATAGACTGAATTTCTATATTTCATATGGAAATGCAAAGATCCCAAAAAAGCTAAGGCAATTTTGAAAACTATTTTAGAGAGCTTACTACTTTCTTAGATCTTCTGACTGGTTTTCACTTAGTCTTTGCTTTAATAATCCTGCCTTACATGTATATTCCCTCGAAACAAAAACCTCAGAAACTTCCAGGAATTAGAGTGCGTATACAACTAAGTAAAGTGATTCTTTCACTTAATAAACCCATGCTGAGGTGGAAGCCCACCAGAATGTCATTTTAACAAATGACATTTTCTCAGTGGGAGACAGGATTTGTGTCCATACAGCTACAGCAGAAGAGACAGGGTTGTTGGCTTTATCAATCTAATGAAATAAGATCCACATGAAAGTCACCTCATCTGCGTAGAATTAAGAGAGACAGCAACTTAATTTTGTGATCAAATTGTTTCCATGAATATGGCTGCATATCACCATCTGCTCACATTAAGAAATCCCAGGTGGATGTCCTCACTCTCCTAAAGAAGGAAAGAGAATCCCTGACACTCCACTTGACGACCACAGAATTCTTAGGTGGACACTTACTTCAAGTGAGATACTTTGATCACTTCGATGGGCGATTCATCACTGCCCCGTTCTCCTCGAAAAGCAATGCTCCTGCCTTTAATTGCAAATGTTAGAGAAGACGTGAAAAAACAGCACCAGACATGGAGGAAACAAAAAGCTACCCTGTGTGCTCTGACCCTGCAACTCTCCTCTCCCTTCACTCTCCCACTTCAGGGCGTGTTCTCAAAAAGTGTTACAAGTTAAAGACAAATAGTATGTTACTTATACTCAAAGTCTACTTTATAAAAAGATATTTTCACTTGTTATAGAGTTTCTTAAATTTCTTCTGTGGTTTCTTTCAAATAATTTAATTTTAGAAACTTAGAAATATCACTTTCTAGCATTTGAATGCATTTACAGGAGTTATAGGAGAACTGTCACTGTGACAAATGGTACATTTACAGTCACATGAACATCCCCATGCTTACAAATACCAATTAGTGGGGAAACGCTCTGACAGATGTGTAAGATTTTCCTGTCTGTGTGCAAAATACTCAACTGAAATATTGTGACATATTCCTATCAAAAGTTCTCCACAAACTAAAATTGGGGAATGATAAGAATTAGTTAACTGCCAAAGAAGCTAAATGATTTTCTCTAATTAAAGAAATGAAATTCTACCTTATGTCTGAACAAATCTTAATATATTTTCCTAGGTTTTTATTTATATTAAATGAAAGAAAGAACATACTCAATTTAAAGACAACAGAATGCCCACAGTCCTCCTTGCTCTTCAAACATAATTTCTCTGTTATTATTCACCAAATATTTCACATCCTTTCCTGACTTTATTAATCAGCTGCCCTCCTTAGAAGACAAGGCTGTAAAAGCCTATAATCTATGAACTCATCTCTCACTTTAAGAGTCAGTAACTACTGCCCGGCCAGGCGTGGCTCAGCGGTTGAGCGTCGACCTAGGATCCAGGCAATCCGGGTTTGATTCCCAGTCAGGGCACATGCCCGGGTTGTGGGCTCGATCAGTGACTCTCTCATCATTGATGTTTCTGTCTCTCTCTTTCCCTTTCCTTTCCTCTCTCTGAAATCAATAAAGATATATTTTTTAAAAGGCAGTAACTATTACTTAGAAATTGGTTCCTCAATAGATTGTGCCCCGAATAGGAATTGAACACAGGACAAGGGCCAGCCAACTGAGCCACACTGGCCAGCGCGAGACTACCAAAAGATTTAAATTTGAGCATTTAAAAACAATCCTTGCCTACAAGTTTTTTAAGGGTTTCCTAAAAAGTCTAAAATTCTGAAATAGAACCTTGTAAAGTTGAACTACAAAGATTTATTTTAAAACTGTACCTTTGATTTCCTATAGCAATGTCTATGAATGAGGAACTGGTGTCCTATTTATTTATGAAACTGCCTGTCAGGCTAGTGGTCTCCATTTCACCACACAATCTGCGTACAAACAAGGATGAGTCTTTTCTAGGAAAACCACTGCAGACCGACAGGGAATAGATGCATAAACACAGAACACAAGGAACTCCACGGCAAAAGAAAGTGCTTTAGAACATGCTTACAAGTGACACTACCTCTGACCAACAGGACAAACCATTTCGAACCTTTCAATTGTCTAAACACACAAACCTGTTGGAAGATCAACCAGCTGAAGCTCATTTCTCACTAATCCCATGTTGTTTGGTGTTGAGGTAGCAAAAGACAGAAAGCCAGTCAAACTCGTCCACTCGATACCCCTATAATGAGAAATTAAACAGATTAATCTGATACCTTTAAAAAAAAGTTTTTCTTAAGACCTAAATTATACAAGTTAATTAAGAAGTACTATTACTATGACCATTTATTTGAGGCTACATTACCATATATTTCCAACATTTATAAAATTATTTCTAGTTAAAACTATCTCCAAATAATGACAAGATAGTCTGGTTATTGGCATTCGTAGCAGCATTAAAATAACTTAAAACCTGGCAAAGGAGAGCGTCACATCGCAGCAGTNGCAGTAACTATTACTTAGAAATTGGTTCCTCAATAGATTGTGCCCCGAATAGGAATTGAACACAGGACAAGGGCCAGCCAACTGAGCCACACTGGCCAGCGCGAGACTACCAAAAGATTTAAATTTGAGCATTTAAAAACAATCCTTGCCTACAAGTTTTTTAAGGGTTTCCTAAAAAGTCTAAAATTCTGAAATAGAACCTTGTAAAGTTGAACTACAAAGATTTATTTTAAAACTGTACCTTTGATTTCCTATAGCAATGTCTATGAATGAGGAACTGGTGTCCTATTTATTTATGAAACTGCCTGTCAGGCTAGTGGTCTCCATTTCACCACACAATCTGCGTACAAACAAGGATGAGTCTTTTCTAGGAAAACCACTGCAGACCGACAGGGAATAGATGCATAAACACAGAACACAAGGAACTCCACGGCAAAAGAAAGTGCTTTAGAACATGCTTACAAGTGACACTACCTCTGACCAACAGGACAAACCATTTCGAACCTTTCAATTGTCTAAACACACAAACCTGTTGGAAGATCAACCAGCTGAAGCTCATTTCTCACTAATCCCATGTTGTTTGGTGTTGAGGTAGCAAAAGACAGAAAGCCAGTCAAACTCGTCCACTCGATACCCCTATAATGAGAAATTAAACAGATTAATCTGATACCTTTAAAAAAAAGTTTTTCTTAAGACCTAAATTATACAAGTTAATTAAGAAGTACTATTACTATGACCATTTATTTGAGGCTACATTACCATATATTTCCAACATTTATAAAATTATTTCTAGTTAAAACTATCTCCAAATAATGACAAGATAGTCTGGTTATTGGCATTCGTAGCAGCATTAAAATAACTTAAAACCTGGCAAAGGAGAGCGTCACATCGCAGCAGTTTCTGAGAATCCCACTGCTTAAAAACAAGTGGTATAGAAATATCTTAATTGAGCAGGCTGCTTAAAGTTAAGTACACTCAGGAACTTTATTAAATTTCATCAAAATTCTCGGTCAGGAAACAGAAATCCCTGAAACAAACAATACAAACTGAGCCGTGAGATCTGGAAGTGGGTGAAAGCTCCAGATGGCATCTCAGAGAAGAGCAGAAGAGAAAAACCTCAAAGACGACTCAGTGCCGGGGCAGCAACCTATCCACCTAGTGCTGGGGAGTCTCCTCTGTGGGGATGGCAGGACGTGGGCCCATGTCTCTCCCACTAGCATAGCTGGAGTGCTCACTCACCATCATGGTGGGTGGAGAATGGGGAAGAGAGGGCCAGGCCCAGGGGACATGCAACCACCAGGGTCATGAGGAGGAGAGACACTGCACTACCACCTCGCACTGCGTCCAAGGTCACGGAGGCTGGCTAGGAGGGACTCTAAACCTCTGCTCTACACCGAGTTGCTCATCAGCATTTATGGGACATTTTTACTGTACTGTCTACGGCTGCTTTCATGACACAGGGCACAGCTGGATCGCTGTGACAGAAATGTTACAGCCTACGGAGCCTGAAGTATTTGCTATCCAGTCCTTACAGAAAACGTTTGCCAACCTCTGATCCAGCTGATCCACTTCTCCTCCAACGTGAATGCAATGGATAGATTTAGCATTAAAGGCCGCTCTGCATGTCTCCCATTTGCCCAAGAAGGTAGTGGCTTCCACCGTCCAGGCCGCAGGGCCATCTGCCTCACCCTACCTGACCAAACTTACCTCTCAATCACCTGACTCTTATCTACTTTAACTACAGTAACTTTCCTCACTGACCCTGGTGTATCCACCTCGTCTTTTCTCAAAGCGGCAAACCCCAAGCAAACTAAAAATAGTATCTGCAACAGCAGGGAACTGCTGTAGTCATCAAGGATTATAATTCTTTTTAAAAAAAATCTATCTCTATTGATTTCAGAGAGAGGAAGGGAGAGGAAGGGAGAGGAAGGGAGAGAGAAGCATCAATGATGAGAAAGTAATTGATCAGCTGCCCACTGCATGCCCCTGACTGGGGATCTACCCACAACCCGGGCATGTGCCCTGACGGGAATTGAACCTCGATCTCCTGGATCCCAGGTTGATGCTCAACCATTGAGCTGCATGCAGCCAGGCAAGGACTATAATTCTTTAAAGGTAAACCTGCTGAAACCCTCAGACTGGGCTGTTTAAAACTGAGTACTCTTGAGAACTTCCAAGCCCAAGACGACCTCTCTTGTTCCCTCTTCAAATACTATGTGAGTGCAAGGCCTGGCTCCGGCTGGTCTCCCTTCCTGTTTCCCCATCGGCTGTGCAGGAATGAAAACGCTGTGTGAATAAGACAGGCCTGGCACTGCGTGTATCAGCCATCATCACCGTCGTTGTCGTCACTCTTACACCAAAATCCAGCTCAGGCCCTATGCTCTTCAGGAGGGCTCCCCGTTAAACTCAGACCACTCCCATTGTGACCACCCTATAATTTGGTTAATTACTCACTGGAACAGTCCCTTGTCTCGTTTCTCTCTTTCCCCTACCACGTAACAGCTCGAGTTTTCAACGTGACCAAGAGGAAAGAACCATTTTGGACATACCCTGCTCTGTTACACACAGACCTCAGGACACACGCTCCAAGGCCTGTTGCTGGCATCTGGACTGCTTAGGCTCCAGTACTAAAGCCACTGTCTCTGCACACGACAATTCCAGTCCTCCCATTCTCCATGCCGTCTTTATACACACACACCTGCTGAGTACCCAGCACAGGCTAGTGGCCATGCCAGGCACTGGGAATACGGCTATGGAAGAGACGGATACAATCGCTGCCCTTCTGGAACTTCTGGTCCAGCAGGAAAGATCATACATGTTCGCTCTGTATTGCTTAATACCAAGGAGAGCAGTGCAAAGGTCAACAGGAGCTTGTCAGAATCACACAAAACCTGATCTCTGGGGCCAGGCGAGGCTTCCAGGACCATAAAGCTGAGGGCCAAAGGCCATGCAGGGCTTTGCCTGGAAGCCTGAACAACAGAGGAAACAGGCGACTGTGTGAGAAGCCCTTCCCTGGACTGTACTCTCTCTGCAAGCAGGTGCCCTGTCCCTTCTCACCAGGCATGTGACAGGCATTCAGTAAATTCTGTCAGATTAAGTGACGTTCGAGAGAAGCCTAGCATTCTTTCTATTCACTATGCCACACACATTCAAGAAGTGCCCTCCCTGTGTTTATAAGCTGCCCCGTGTTCAGAACACACAGAATGGGGTGGCTGTTGTTTGTAATCCTGCGCTGTGAGCGGGCGCCTCTGAGCAGCCTCTGCAGCAGCCAGGATACCCACCTGTTATCCACTGATCAACAGAAGAAAATAAAAGTTGGCTGGACTTCCAGGCAGATTAGACGAGGAGGGGTTAACTTCTCAAAAGAGAAGAATGGGAACTGGTCACACACAGCTAAGCATAACAGTGCTCTAAGAGCCGAAGACTATTGTTGAGGTTTCAACTATGCACTGAGCTCTACAAAAGACGCGTTAAGAACAGCAACTCATTTTCTGCCTCAATCCAGGCTTGTTTTGTAGGGTTCCTTGCTACCGAACAAAGAACCTCATCAGTGGTATTTGGGATTCTGCCTCCTACAAGTTTCCAAGCTGGGCCTGCTGACCTCCACTGGGGGTGCTAGAGTCTACTTCTCAGCCCCAGGTGGCCAGGGGAGCACACACTCCTGCAAGGCCTTGCAGTTCTAGGATTATGTAAAACTAACTTCTGCAAATTTATCGACAAACTAGAGATCATTTAATTCCCACAAATCACTCAAGTTCTTCAAAGCAATACTGAGCCAATCAATGTTCTGATACCCATATAAAATACTGTTCTAATACTCTCTGACACTGAAAATAGTACTGGGTTCTATTATGATAAATCTAGTCTGCTGGAAAAAGGCACAAACGAGTAATCTAAGAAAACCTACATGTTCCTATTCACCTACTTCCAGGTATCGTCCAGCAGATGACATGCCTCACAGATGCTGCTGCTCGATGCGCACTTGTAGAGCACAGCTGGCTAAAGCATCGTGGCTTTAGAAAAACCACACAGAGGCAACTACCAGCAGCTGGGCAGACGGTCCCTGGCCATGTGCCAGCATGAGATTCAAGCACTTAACACTAAGTGTTTTTAACACATTCAGTATTAGGTATAAAACTGCTTTCTGAGAGCTGACCTTTAATTTGCATGTGGATATCTAAAATGTATTGGGTTGACTGCTAATGAGTCCAGCAGTTTTTATAACACATCTGTGAAATTTTCATAATGGCTTTTAATTACAGTACTATAATTGCATTAATTGAAATACAAAGACAGCGGGATTTTAGCATCTTCTTGGGCACCATCTCTGAATATAAAAGGTGAATTATCTTCAAAATGGCAATTAAGAGGGAAAACTCGTATCAAAAATGGAGCATACTTGTGTGGTCATTCACAACAGCCCGTGTGAGGAGTCATTTGGAATCCCAAGTAACAACGTACACACATTTTGTCACTTAGTAACAAATAGTCACAGAAATTGTAAGTCATGTAGTTAGTGACAGCTCTGACCTGGATGAGCCACTTTAAGAAATGAATAGCTCACTGATAAACTAGCGACTGTGTCTTTATTAAAAATTTCACTATTCAGAAAAAAATAAAATGTACTTGATTTTCCAGAAGCATGTATCAGATTCCTAACATGAATCCTGGCTCAGTCACACTTTTATCTTATTGCCAGATGTTTCCCGCTATCGATGTGCATACACCACAAGTATAGGAGCTCAATTCTGAAGCCTGAAAGCCTCCACTGCACTCCAACTTTCGGATTCTGCAATATGTAGCTTCCTCTCCTGTGAACTGGGAATAAACTAGTGCTCACTGCACAGAACTGTGGTGGAGACTCAATAAAACGGTGCAGGCCAAGGGGTAGCACTTAACATAATCCTCAGAACAAGCACTGATTAAATGGAGAGTTCTGACTGGCTGGTGCTGGCCATGAGAGGAAACACTACACACAAAGGGCAAGGGTGAGAGGGAATGTCAAGAGAAGAAACATGGACGGGAAGGGAAGGGAGGAGAAGCCACTGGCAGTGGCAGCAGGGACTGTGGGAAGAAGAGAGAGAAATGACAGCCTTGTCGATGTACCTCGGAAGCCCAGCTTTTGAAGACAACACTGCTCCACGTAAATGTAGTGAGGGAGACACTGAAGGGGCAGCACAAGGTGGGATCAGCAGTAACCCAGCTGCACCGCCAACCATGTGCCTGGGAGAAGGCAATGTAAACCCTTCGGGAGCTTCCATCCCCATCAGCAGCTGTGACACTAAAGGGTTGACCCTGCTCATTCAGAAAATGCATTTACTCAGAATAATATGTTCTTTACGGGTTCACTAAGAACTAACATGTGCATAGGACCTACACTTCGGTAATGGACAGAAGACAGAAAATGGTCTTTCTTATATTTTTGTTAAAAGGTCATAAAATACTGGCAATTTAATAACTTCATATATGTGTAACTGCTCGAGTATAAAAAGGAAAGCAGCCACACAACCAGCACAACAAGGCCAGAGAAGATGTGCCTGCACTTTAAACTGGAAAGCAAGAGGCATTCCTGTCCCTCAGCCTCCCTCACATACACTCACAAAACAAATCTCGTCTCAAAATGAACAAGTGCTACAGGCTCGGTCCTTTTCTGACGGTGCTAAAACAAAGAAATAAATGAGACAAATTATTAAAATGACACTTCTCAGGTTTTCATAAGCCGTCCTACTGAGGGGCCTTTATAGAAATGGAAAGTGAACTAAATAAGCCTGAACAAGGAAACACAGTGACTTCCAGTAAGAAAACAGCCTGAGCCTGAGAAGAAACAATTCAGGTGCAGCAGTGAGGACACTCTCCACTGCGCAGTGCCCTTCACAAAAGGCACACAGTCAATGCTGCTCCCTGATCACAGCCATTAGTGGGACATGAAATTTATTATGCGAAGTTCTCAAATAATCAAGCTGCAGAGTGCTCCATGTGTAAGAGCCTGAGTGTGTGACTCAGCGACACAGGACATACTCACTTGACTTCACAGGAATGGACGCTTAACTCCTTGTGCAGCAGCCCGCTGGTGAGGTGGTAGACCAGGACAGAGCCGTTCCCCGTGCCTGCAGAAACGACGTACAGGACGGTATTTACCTGCCGGGTCCAGATCATTCCAACACAGTCTTTTCTCACGATTTCAATCATTTTACAACATTTATCTTTTATAAAAGCATATGATCTCAGGTAGTGTATCTAATTCTTAATTAGAAAGGACAGGGTCATACCTGAGAAAGTAATGTTTCAATTCTTAAACTGCTTTTGTAAGTTAAGCAAAAAAGTCAACAGTGTAAGTGGTCAAACAATTATGATCTCACTGCCCATGACTCGAAGGGATTAATGAATTCATTTAAGGCAACAAATGTGGAACTAACAACAGAATATAATAATACTAATAATACTTAATACTAATAAAAGTGGTAGGCAAATTTCAGCTGTAGCTTACTTACTGAATAAAGCTTCAGAAATAATTTATAGAACTGCTCTAGAAAACTACAGGGTTACACCTGCTTCCACTGATCAGCGAAGCCACCATAATACTGTCCAGTGCTGAGAAAAGGGCTAAAGAATTACTAACACTTTTCAGCTCACAGACCTTCATAATAACCAAATAATTTCTGTGCTCTGCAAGTTTTGCTGATGTTGAGCCTATGACCTGTAACACTCAAGGGGCCCCCTAAGGAGACGCAATCCCACGGCTGAGCTCTGCTTCTCCCCCCGGGTGACTCCGCAAACGCCTAGGCACTTATTTCACGCTTTGTTTTTACTTTGTTATTATACTGAATTCAATGAGTGACTTGATATTCACTATACACCAGTACAATACAGCTTATTCTACAACAGAAACCTCAGACCCTAACCCGGCTCTTATTATCTAGCTGTCCTAAGGGATACTTTTCTCCAAGAAATTGACAAAATCCTAACTGAAAAATTAAGTATATTGACCTTGAACATACATTGTACACTGACGAGTCTTAATTAAAAAATCTATAAGAGGTTTAATACAAACCAGTAGGTCCTAAAGCAAAAATTAAACATTCGCATTTATATAAATCTGGACATATGTACACATGGACCACTGAACCTTAAAATTCAAATCACTTTCAGAAGATAGTAATGAAAAAATGGGAAAAATACTACCACCAGTCATATGCAAATGAGCAGCTAGGACTCATGAGCCAGCCAGTAAGCTGACATCTAGCGTAACTCAGACACAGCTCAACAACATACAGGTGGTCGGGTTTTCATTTTAGAAAAAATCACAAATCCCATGTTTACAGACCTGGGGAGGAAGCCAGAAGCCAACAAATACAGTGGTGCCTTGGTTTTCGAACGTTTCAGAACTCGAACGGTCTTCCAGAACGGGTTACATTAGAAAACTGAGGTACCACTGTAGCATCTTTCAAGAAATGATTTCACTTGGCCTCTTCCTCTTCATTCTCAAAGATAAAAAGGATTTTCTAGTAACTAGCAAAGTTAAAAGTCTCATAAAATATAAAACATGACGAATTAAAAACAAAACAAAACAAAAAAAGGTCCAAGCCCTGGCCCATGTGGCTCAGTGGCTGAGCATTGTCCCGTGCACCAGAAGGTTGCCAGTTCGACTCCTGGTCAGGACACAGGCCTGGGGTGCGGGCTCGATCCCCAGTAGGGGGCATGCAGGAGGCAGCTAATCTGTTTCACTCTCACATCGATGTTTCTCTCTAACCTCCCTTCCATTCTCTCCAAAAAGTAATTAAAAAATCTTTAAAAAACAAACAAAAAAAAACCACCCCAGGTCCAATACTCACCAACCGCAAGCAGTGGCTGATACACCTTGATGTTTTTTGTGGTCAGTGGTGGACACATGCGGACTGTGAACTGTGGGGAGGGCAGCCCAGAGACCAGCCCTGTGAGCAGGAACCTGAGGTGCACTTCCTGCAGAGCGGAGCCTGTGGGACGTTCTCCCCCAGCAATGGCGCTCTGCCCTGGTTGGTGATGGAAAGGACCCAAATATTAACTGTGTGCTGACGTTCAAAATCTAAGAAACTCTTCAGGGAAATACTCTTGCGGCCTAGAAAAGTACATCCAGGTCTAGAAGGTGTGACATAGCACCTCAGGGGTGTAGCTAGATGAGAGCTCTGTGCTTCACCATGGGACTTATAGTGCATTCACTGTCCAACATCTCGAAAGATAGATACTCCAGAGTACTGCTATCCAGGATTGCTAACCGCTGTCTTCTAAGAAACACCATTTCTGCCAAAGTTCCTGGGATTAGGACACCAAAGGCAGGTCAAGGGGACTTGGATGAGAGGGCAGTTTCCGTGGAGGGGATGGGGCAGCACTTTCTAAAGGTTACTTTCAACTGATGACTTCGTAAAGGGTACACAGAGTCAGTGATCACAAACAACAGGTCCAAGAACTCACTGAGATTTCTAATGAGAAATCTCACAAAATTTAAGCTTTACAATTAAATATGTTATATGTAAATGTATTACATATAACCTGTAACTGTTGAGAGTTAGGTATTAAATGGAGTAAGTTTCAGATATAACATTCATTCTTAGTTTGAGAGATATCAAGTCTCAAACTAAAAAGATGACTCCAATGAAAACGAGTGTAACAAAATGCGAACATAGAGACTAAACAAAATCAACACCGTTTACTAACAAGGTATACAAACTGTTTCCTATAAACCACTACTGACTGCTGACTAAATTGTCAAAACTACTACATAATAAAGGCTGTGAGTGTATATATGCACACACACACTGTGAAAAGAAAAAATGCAAATAATTACTAGAAGTGGGTGACAGGACTCAATATAATCTTTTGAAGCTATAAAGTTGTTTTAATAATAAAGTTATTTTAAAATCCATAAGATATACAGAAAAAAATGGCCACCAATTTAATGCAAATAAAATGATCCCTTAGGATCAGTCCTACAATTGATATCAATCTTTGGTGACAAAAGATGGGGCCTAAATGAGTGGGAAGCTCACCAGGCAGGTGCATGTTTACCAGCCTTCAGTATCCTGGAGCTGACTCCTGAGAACTGCCACACTTTTGTTCCAGCATCTTCCGTAGAGGCAATTCACAGGTAGGGCAGATCAGGCCTTAAGAAGCAGCGGCCTTTACCCAATGAATATAAATCAGGCCTCTGGATTTAAATGAATTGCTTTCAATTATCACTAAGTACACAGTGAATTTCAAATTAAAAGTTTAATTAGAAGTTTTTATTAGAATGTTTTCAAGTAACAAAGCTTTATTTAACACTTTTAAATCAACTACATTGTCAAGAACTAGTATATAATCTATATCCTTTTGTCTCTTGAAAATGTAATTTATATGACTTAGATACCCAAACAGCATAAAATTTCAGTCTTTCACATTACTGATTAGTTCTGTGCATGTGTGTGTTTACAGTTCTTTTCAATTTAATATTTTTATCAAGTGCAGACAAGGTCAATTAACTCAGAAAATTGTGTTACTGATAAAAGTGCATTTTGCAAAACAAGTTTGTGTCTAAACTTCCTTCTATGGATTTGTCTGGAAGGAAAAGAGAAAGAATGTGAAATATAAAAGTTAGTATCACTGAGCAAAAGGATTTACACCTTAGAGGGATCATTAGAAAACCAAGGCCTGGAGAGGTCAGGTCTTGCCTGAAATCCCAGAGGAGCAGCCAGGACTGGAGGCCACAGCTGAGGGGCAGGCTCCAGAATGGGGTGAACAAGTTCACATTTTGGCTCTTCCACCTCCTGGCTGTGTGGTTTTAAGCAAATTTTTTAAATCTCTCTGGTCTCAGTTCCCACAAACATAACTGGAGATAGTATCACTTCCCTACAGAGCGCCTACCACAGCACTTAATACAGCAACGAGCACCCAGCAAATGTCACTTCTGATTAAAAAGACTAATAAAGTGAAGCTCTATTTTGTATATCAAGCATTTAAACAAAACAACCTACTAAATAACACTGATTTTCAATTACATCATGGAAGAATAAATATGATATAGAAAATCCTTTCTAAACCACAGCCACAATTTAAAAGAATTAGACATCACAACTGCTTGGCATATTTATAATTTCTAGTTGAACAATATTTGAAATCACAAATCATTATTCTTTGTCTAATACATACTGGCCCTATAATAACTAAATAAGTTGGAAGCAATATTTTATCTGCAAATAAGTATATGTTGAAAGAAACACCAGTGTGTATCAAGACAATGTATGTCAAAAAGGTAAAACAAAATAATTTTTTCGAATCCTTCTCAGTTCTTTATTCCTTCATAAATATTTACTGTGCATCTAGAATGTACAAGGCTCTGGCTCTCTACATTTCTGTTTCCTCAAGTATTAACTCTGACTTTATAATAACTGCAAATCAGTGACTATTAATTTTGCCCTTTAAAAAGCACACCTGAAGTGAAAGTCAGAGAGAAACGGAAGCTCACCGATCATGTTGTCCAGGGAGAGGTCGGGGAGCTTACTCTGCAGCACTCCTACTGGAACCCCACAGAAAGACACCGGGGAGTACAAAGGGGACACGCCAGAGCTGCTGCAGAGACATGATAATTGCATGGCTTTTAACAGTGACTAACAAAGTACTGATTTCAGGTCATGGTAATCTATTTTTCTCATCCACAAGTCAAATATCTCTAGCAGGTTTACATAATTCCCTAATAAACTAAAATCTCAATTAACATTTTAAAATATTTTTAACATTTTAAAAAATCCCTTCTATTTTTGTATGATTCTGACATTTTTTTATAAAGAGGAAACAGAACACAAAGCAACGATCCCACTGATTTACTTGCCTGCTCCGTGAACTTCGGTTACAAAGGGTTGACTTCAGCTCCCATATCATGACCCTGCCATCGCTCACGACGAGGGCCGCCGCGTTCTCGTTAACCGGGCAGCACACCATGCTGAAGGGGCGGACGGTTTTCGTCACCCGGATTGCGTCACACTGGCTGCGTAAGTCATAGGTGAGCTCCTGGACAGGATCGGGATCTGACACAGTGTTGCTTTCTTTTAAATGTCAGGAGGCAGCCACACCAATATTGCTCATATTTCTCTTAATTTAAATAAAACCTCAAGTGAAAAGACTATCAGTCCTTCACTAATGGAAAATCTGTCATGAATGGCTTCCCGTTCTATAATTATTACTAATTTCTCCAGAATATAATTACCTTACTGATTGTCTATGCCAAGTTTAATTCCCAAAATAACAACTATAATCAAGACAGCTTGTTTTTAAATATTTCTAAAATAAAGGCTCTGAACAGTGACACATGATCACATAATGAACAGTGCACGACAGACCACAGTAATTTACAGTGGTCTGTAATAAGCCTGGAAATAACTGCACTTTACAGAAGATGTTAGTCACTCTCAACTCGATGTAGTCCATCATTTCACAAAACATTATTTTTATTTCCCAGGAAAAAGAGGGAAACTGACAATGGAATGGCCTGGAGACATATTTACTGCCACTTTACGGGGGATCCTAAAGCAGGGGGAAGGTCAGAAAGTGTGATAAGTAATAAAGGCACATACAAAACTGGGCTTGTGCTAAAGAGATATTCACAAAAGATAACATCTGCTTGGTCCCTGGAAATCAGCACTGTTCTAACACTGAGATCAGTCGTGGGCTTGTGTTTTTTATGCGCCATATCGTAACCATATCTACTTTCTCAAGGCAGGGATTATCACCAACTCTAAGATTTGGCTGGTATTTGCTTTATAAAACAATTCTAAAAAAACGATAATGGATATTAATGTGAGACAGAAACTCACCTGGCTCCTCATTTGAAGTGGTGAAAATATTATTATAAGATCTTCGAACACGTAGAGTTATACAGCCATTCTCATGTAGGCAAAATAAGCCATCACGCTGAAAGCAGGGTATCACCTTTAAATAGAGGATTCATTTGTTTTTAACACAGATTAAAGAGTACATACTGTGAGACTCATAAGCTCATATTTAGAGAAAGAGATAAAACAAAACAAAAATACACCACGTAATCCCCAAGTTTTAAAACTAAATGAACATTTAAAAATCCTTTTATAATCATAAAAGTTTGTCTTTATCCACATAACTTAAATAGCTCAGTAAGTATCTCCAGACCAGTCAGAAGAATTTCTAGGGTAAATCAAACCAATCAAAAGTGTAAAAAAATAAGAAATGGAAAATAACATTATTTTTAATAAACAGAAAGTGGAACTAAGGACTTTTGCATGGTTACAGTTTTTCCCTATGCAACATTCACAGTCGACTTCTGGGATGTGATTATGAATCATCGGTACCTGCAGAAATGGGACTCCTGTTCGCTCTATGGCAACCACACCCACGGTTTGATTCACCTCAAGGTCAAGGATTAAAATCTCTCGAGGATACAGTAGCAACATGTGGTTCCGTTTGGAAGGCAGATAGGCCAGCTGAAGACAATCGTTGAGAGTTATGAACTCAGCACTGAAAAAAGCAAACATTGACTTTAAGCATTGAGAAATGAGTCAAAGATTTTATTCATATCAGAAAAAGCTAGTAAGAGAACCGGATTTTGTAATTTCCACATAAAAACTATCAATGAGAATGTATAATTGTTTATGAAATGACCAACAGGGCGAGTATCTAAACATAAACCTCTACGAGGTGCCAAAATCCAAATTATGGCAATAACGTTGTATAGGCTGAGTGAGATGTTTCCAGATTTCTGAAAAACTTAAAGTAGCAAAAGTCTATGATATAAGATGATAAGTCTATGATACACTAGGCATTAATAAGATAGTTTTATTTTTATTGTGCAATCAGAAGTACTGAACAGACTGCTGAAATCAATATTCAGGATTAAAACTAAATGTTTAGTGTGACGAGGGAACTGGATCGGAGCCAGTGGACTGGGTATATGGCCCTGGGTGAGGCACTTCCTCCACTCTGTCTTCATTTTCTTTTAAGCTGCCTGAAATCTTTGAAACAAAGTAGTGTGTTTTACGCACTCATCACAACGGTTTCTTCTGTGTAAATAAAATATACAAAACTACATGAGGATTGTAAAAGATTGTTAGAGTCTCAAAAAACATGTTAGTAATTTGTGATTAGTGCATACATTTAATCACAACCTTTCTAAAATAAATATATTCCAATGGGAATAGACATACAGTTATGTTCTATTTTTTCATAATAATAATATGAAACAGTTCTGACACTTAAAATGAAGTTAGACTAGAGGACTAGTGAGAGGAAAGAGGACTGCATTACCATCCTGGCTCTCCCATTTCCTGTAAGGGTGAGCTGAGTAACATTTAAAACATGAGACACAATTTCCTCTTTTATAAAAAGGGAACAGCACTGCGGGGCAAGACTGTAGCAAGATTGTAACAATGTCTGTGAAAACACCCAGAGCAGTTCCACTTGAAAGTGTTAATAATTCACTTCCCCAAACTCAAGGTGAACATGATTCGCAGGAGAGAAAATGTAACAAATATAAGTCATAACATAAAACTACTCAGACTGCAAAACATTTATTTATGATACAGAATCAATGAAAAATAAAGAGGAAGTTTTCAAGATATTTAAGGAGCGATCTTAAATTATTTGGCACAGGGTCGGGAATAAATTAGTGAACTTAACCAACCTATGGTTTAATATATAAAAATGATATTTACCTATAAATTAAAAATGTAGTTGTAGAGCAATTAGTATTTTACCATGTGTTTTTCAGGTAATTACCCACAAAGTCTAGATAGAATAATCTTAGTATATTAAAAGCAAAGACTCGTTTAAAATAAATGCCAAAAAACTGCCAAAGTAATAAAAATAAAATAATCATGGCTCTAGGAAAAAGACAGACATCTACCTCTAATGCATAAAATTAGTTACTTAAAATAAAATTTTATTCAGCTGCAATTTCTGGTATGAGCAATAACAGCTGGCATTTACCAAATGAATGCTCACTAAGTATCAGCCACTATGCTACATACTGAAGTTACGGTATCAACGCTTACAGAGCCTGGTGAAGCTCCTTAAGCCACTATGGTAGAGATGGGGAAGGTGGAATCTGAGCAAGATTAAAGAATTTTATGAGTCACACAGCTGCAGTTTCTCCTAAAATCCTGGCCCTTAACCAGCACTGAGAAACATCTTTACAGAGTAAGAAAAAGACCCATATTTTACAGCTCAAGGGAAAGCACAGCATTTAAGTCAGAAAAATGTATTTAAAATGAAAAGCCAGATTCTGTCCTCAAATTTCTAATATATTCAATAGCCACAATGTTAGAAATGCTCATCTCATATTTCCTAAAGTACAAATCAGCAGTTAAAAACTTTAATAGGTAAAAAATCAGTGGGGGGAGTTCGGCACAACAAAGGAGCCGTGTCAAATGCTGAGTCTCCTCCTAGGGGAGGATCCAAGAAGAGCATCTTTCCTCATAAATTCAAAAGAAGAAATGAGAAAGGGTGTGACGAAGAAGAAAACCAACCATAGTACATGTTCAAAACTGATGTTTTCAAGAGCAGATGGCAAGTGGATGAATGTTGTCATTAGTTTCACATCTGTAACTTACCTGGGTTTCTCTTGCGTGATTAAGATTCTGACTTTATTGAGAGCCTTCTTGGCTCCCGTGGCTGCGGCCAGCTTGTTATGAGCTGGGCTGGAGTGTGGGCTGGATATGTAGACCTTTTTCCCGGGGCCCGAGGGAGGCTTGGATGGGGAGAAGTCGGAGATGAACACAATACCCTCGCTAGTGAGCACTATACGGAGGGAAGCAAACTGCTGATTAACGTTCAATCAAGTTGAGCACAGATTTTCTCCAATACTGTTTTGAGAACAAGGCAGTGATCATTTTAACCACGCGGAACTGGCAGTGTTATACAATCGTAACGTAATGGGAATGTTCTCCAAGCTGAAGGGAAACAGGTGTCCCATTACAATTCATCAGGGCCTCCAAGCTCTGCATTCTCAATCAATGTTTTATGTTTAAAAGATACCAAGAGATTACTTGCGGATAGAACAAATGTTTGTTCTTCCAAATAATTCAGTGCACAAACTTTCATTAAAAACCTTCCCTCATTATATCCCACTAAATCTGAAGACTTTTCTGAATATAAAATTCACAGAAGAAAAAAATCCCACATCTATACGAGGCTCTGCATATCATACTTAGCTAAGTTCAAATATTTGATCTGATCATACAAATTTTTTATGATCATGAGCTACGCGGCCTACATATATTTCCTTTTCTTTTTGGCATCAGACTGGACCTGAGGATGTAGAGTGTCCTTTTTCTCTGTAGATGGAGAGACCAACCTACCACCCAACACAGCCACCTGCCCACTCTCCACCGTTCTCCTCTGCTCCCTTTATCCTGGCCTACTTTTTATACCACCTGTAACCTCTTAACATCTTAGACTTATTAATTCATCATGCTCCGAGTGTAGGACCTGACTCCCTCTCACTAGAATGCAAGCTTGATAGGGCAGGAATCCTTGTCTTGTTTCAATGATATATTTTAGGTCCCAGAACATGACTCACACATAGTAATAGCTCAAGAAACATCTGCTGGATAATTGAATAAAAATATTTTCTAAATAATGTAGTCAAAGAGTTGGCAAAAGCAACCTCTGCAGGAAACAATCCCACAGGGCTTACTGTTCCCTGCATGCATATGGCTACGGCACTAAGAACACACGGCACCAATTAGAACAATGTTTTAAAAAAGAAATAACTGAATTTGGCCACATCAAATGAAACTCTAACTTAGGTTCTTTAAATGTTCCAGAAAAGCAAGTTTAATTAAGCTGGAGTTAGAGTACACAGCAACTCTCTCCCTGGCATATCTAATTCTACTCACAAATTCAACACAGCGGAGGTCTAGCTTGCTGATTCAAATTTCTAATTATGAAAATACCTGCCAATGCTACGGGCTATGACTTAGAACCTGTATTGGAAGCTGCAGGTTATGATTTAGGACCTGTACTAGGAACTGCAGGTTATGATTTAGGACCTGTACTGGGAGCTGCAAGAAATGAATGAGGGGAGCTCAGAGACGTGCCTCTCCACTCTGCTCAGTTTTAACATCATAGACAAATGGCGTGTGCATAACTTATCTACATAGGGTTAACTATATCATAAATACCTCAACTCATTTTCCACAAGAAACTATTACTCACAAGTTAAGTGCGAGGAGTCAAAAGGGTCGAAAGAAAAGGAAAGTATGTTGTCTGCGTAGCTCTTCTTCCAGAGCTTGGTACCCGTGTCTGCATTCCAGAGCACGATGTAGTTTGGCGGGTGGATAGCAAGCAGTAAATCTCGGGAGGCATCCTGGCTCCATAACCACTGAACGTCTATAAAGACCATACAGCAGAATCCAGAGATCATCCACTTCAGAAATACTTGGATAGCATGCCCTTGATATTTAGTTGTGTTTTATTAGCATAATCCTTAAAATCTTAACTATCCCTCCTTGCCCCAATGTTGCATAAGTGTGTTACGTGTCAAGACTGCAGAGGAAAAGTTAATTTTATATAAAAATGAGCTGTGTGGACATCAGCGCCTCAAGGTCAAAACTGGTAAGTAATCTGAAATGTTACCTCCAAGAAGATACAAGCCTATTTGCAGTAATCGATACTTAAAGCTTTATGTCAAAGACTGTCCCAGGCGGGATGGCTAGTGTGAGCCTCTCCCAATGTCTTTGTGGAATTCCTCAATGGGATTTCAGTTTCATGTTTTTTCATAACAATACATGGGCTAAAGATCTAGTTCAGTACCTAGTATACACAGTAAGTACTCAAAAAATATTTTTTAAATAGTCATTTTAAAAATTCATTCATTCAAAACAGCCAATCAGTCAAAGCCTTGAGTTAACTACTATATTGGTTTTAGGTCCATAGAAAACAAACAAAAGACCTACATAAAAACGAAAATGTGATCATCTCTTAATAGAGAGTGGGCACCGAGGGCTAACACCAGGTAGCAGTTGGCCCAGTTCGCTTCTACTAGAGCATAGGGTACCAGACTGTTTGCGGCAGCTTAATTTTCTCACCAAGCTTGACGGAGGCTGATGTTGAAATTAATGCATTTTACTAAAACTCAAACCAGCTGAGATTTGAGGAACTATGCCCAAAAATACATTGATAAGGGTAAAAGACTAGATTCGGGTCAGAACAGGCTAAACACAATCAAGAGTTAAGTGGGGAATGGTGAGGCTAAGTGAATGGGGGAAAACCACTCTAAGAGTAAGTGTGTAATACAAACAGCAGAGCGTGACTCTCCTCACCCTGAATAGGCTTGGCATGCTCCTGGATCTCACATTGAGCTACGCCTGCTGCCACATCCCAAACGATGATTTTCCCACTGACATCGGCAGAAGCTAGGCGCAAGGAATACGGTGAGCCAATGTGATGGTGGTAATTTTCTCTGGCCCACTTAACCTAGTATCAAGAAATCAAATCAAGTAAATACTTGCACTGGATGAAATTAAACATAACCTTTATGAAACATCAACCCAAACCCATACTATTACAAAAATATTTAGGAAGAACAAAACAGTAAAATGGTTTCCATCTTGAAAGTTAGACATTTTATTATTTATGATTTTTTTAAAGTTGCAATTAAAATATTTTTGAAAACATCACCATGTTCCTGCCTTTAAAATATGAAAGATGATGCATAGCCTTAATATTCTGGGAAATTAGGGTAAAAACCCCAGAACACCATGTCATAAAACAGTAATGACCAACGGTGTTGATCATTCCAATGATCAAATGTTACAATCATAAAATCTAATTATGACAGAATATCTAAAATCCCAAATTGCTAAGTAGGAGGTTTTCCTACATTCTATTCTCCTAATTACAAGGAGATACCTTAGAGCTATAAAAACCTTGCAGAGAGAAAAATAGGAAAAAACAAAATCAAACAAAAACCTCTGGCTGTCCCTCTTTCATAAAATTGGAAAAAGCAAAATGATGTTACGTACCTCCAGCAACATCATTTAAGAACAGAATTTTCAAAATAAAAACCATAAAAGTTCCAGTGCAAATCAGGTCAATCTTACAAACCTTTCAGGGCAGGTGAGCATCTCTGGCTGCCTCCTCCATCAGCCCTACAGGGGGATCCCGTCGCTAAGCCCTATGCACACTACTTACCTTTGTGCATGTTCTTCCTCTTTCCTGCGCTGCTCCTCCCCCAATTTTCCATTTGTCTACCTACAATTTATGGGCGCCTAAAATGAAGACTTCTGTGATCCTCCCCAGATCCCTACAACTAGGTAGTATGTAGACTCTTGGTCTTCATATTATGCAACTCTCATCACACTGTTCGTGTTTTGTTTCCACTCTTCCTCACGAGACAATGAATTGCCTGAGAGCTTTCATCTCTCTCTCTCTCCTTAGCACTGGCTATGTGCTCAAAACTAATAATGAATGAGCAGTCCAGCAAATGGCAGAATTGGTGTTTTCCATCAGCTTTAAAATGACCTAAGAACCAGCATTTAATAGATCATCCTGGATGGACATTAAGTCATATGCATGGAAATACTAGGTTAACCCCAAATAAGTTATCATATTTAAAAGTTACCCAACATTTATACATATGACTCAATGAGAGTTTAGTGCTATTTAAAACTTTAGAACTGACAACAGGTTATAGGGCCTGAGTGGAATCTGACTTACCTTCACAACATCAGCTTTATGCTTTTCTAAAACTTGAAGAGTCTGGGCAGTACTGGAATCGATCACCACCACGAGCGAGTGACATCCATAAGCAATTAAACCTTGCCAGCCCCTAAAACAACAGCAATGTTAAACTTTAAGTAAAACAAAGCAAGAGGCCTCTTGCCAAGAGGCATCCTAAATATACAACAGATCTAATATGTACGACCATTCGTAAAATTATTATTTAAGCCCCAAGGTCAGCATTTTACATTATCTCATTTAAACTGAAGGTTTAGCTAAGCTAAAAAATGCTTGTTGAAATTCGTTTTTCATTTGAGTAGAAAAGGTCCTGAGAGAGATGCACACAGAGGTGTGAGAAAGTATAAAGCAAGCAGGTCCTCTGTCTGTCCTGGAGGGCATCTCCGAGTCTCACTCGGCCTGGAGTCCTGGGCACCCAGCAGGTGCCTGGGGCCTCCTGCACGATGTCTGTGATTCCTCCTGCTCCTTCCAACCAGGTAACAGGACAAACCCCGTGCAGGCTGCAGTCCTCTTGCCAGGGTTCCCAGCAGCCTCCCTAGAGAATGTTGCGTTATACTAGTGTAACTATTAATTTTCAGAGCTGCAGTGTTACCTGACAGTCAAGAGATAAAAGTGAAATGAAGGACAAGTGAGCGAACAGGTGTCCGGCGCAGGGTGGCACATTCTGGGAAGAAGGAAGGTAAGGGGACAGGAGGGAAAAGAGGGCAGAATGGGGACGAGGGGGCGGCCGGGTGCCACAGCGGAGGGAGAAGGGCCGGGAGACGAGAGGGGCCGGGAGACGAGAGGGGCCGGGAGG